CATAACTGCCACGACCAACCTCCCGTATTAGATCGTACTTAGGCTGGCTACTCACCATCTTCAAGATCAAGGGTTCTGGGGAAGGGGGGAAAAACCCACAGAACTAAAACTCATGAACAAAGAACTGGGCTGTATTTTCCCCCATATGGCTCGGTGCGGCAATATCAGGCCTTGCAAAACCCTGCAATTAACAGGGCAGTGCCTCCAAGCGTTACACCGAACGCAACACTGCATTTCAGTGCTAGAACGTTCCAGAAGCTATTCTGTAAACCTGGACCTGTTGCCACGGACTAGTTAAAAGTGAAATTACATCCTTTTGGTGGGACTATGAGATTTCAAATACAGCCCAGTTTTCAAGGTGGCAACAATTCAAACCTAGACTTGTATTGTGCCGAGACAGGACTATTGCGTATGCTCCTGCTCCTCTCTCTCAGTGTCTTCCGTGAACATCTGCGGGAATAATAGTACGGTATCATGCTCTCCATCCACACCTGGGATAGCAGAGAAGAGGTTGAAGCCTGTGGCTGGGCAGTAACAGATTTAATCAACACTGCCTTTTATGGAGGTGACTGCATAAGTAAATGTTTCTGTCGTAATTTAATCATGAAGTTATTTTACTAAAACAAGAGGATGCTTTGGATCACTTCCGATTTTTTAATGTTACCATGATTTTTCACCTAGTCTCCCCTGAATGAGGAGTCTACAGTTACAAAAAGTTTAAAAGGGTAACTGATTGCAGAAGCTTGTACCCAGCAGCTAGCTTTCACTTTTGCTCAACAGGGCAAGGGCAAAAGTTAAGATATTGCTCTATAAGTAAAACAAGAGACACACACACACAAAAAAAGCCACCAAACACTGCTACAGATTTATGACCCTCGCTGCACACTTCCCTGCAAGGTTACAAACCAAAACACACCAGCACCACCTTCACACAACCAAACCAAATGGGACACTGACTATAGACAGGAAAAAAAGCTTGGCTAGCCAAGCCTCGCTGGTCAAACAAAACGAAACAGACAAAAAACCAAACATAGCTAGTGTATCAGAACTAAAACAGTTTGTAAGATTGCCAGTGATAAATGTAATTCTCTTTATGTCAGTAAACCAGGCAATAGGGACCACATTGAAACAGCCTGTTATTAGTATGAAGCTTTCAAGTATTTCCATTGTTTTAGGTACTTTTTTTTTTTTAGAAAAAAGAAAAAAAAAAGAAAGAGAGAGAAAAAAGGTATCATCAGTCTCATGGCAATACTACACAGACATTTTAATCTTTCAGCAAAGTTCTGTGATGCACCTTTACAAGAACATTTTGAACTGAAATGTGATGTGCCCAAGAAACACGTTACCACAAGATTCTGCTCGCAAGATGCACTGAGCTTGCACCTGCAGCAGGACTGTGAGGAACAGATTAACATTACAGCCTGCACATTACAATCTGACGGGCCAAAAGCCCTTCCCATGCCGGGGAGAAGAGCAGGATCCGTAATCTCACCAGCAGCAAAGTAACTCCTGAGGAAAAGATGGTGTTACTCAAACACTCACATCAGGTTCAAAATGAGCAGAAAACGTGCCCCCGCGTTGAGGGTCAGTCAGCTGTGTGCTGTTACCAGAGAGGCTCTGTCACTGCCAAGCGTCGGGGCTGCTACCTGCCCTCCTTCAGCACCACAGCGGCCTAGGCTGGTCTGGAAATGCCACCGAGGTTTGTTGCCTAACCCGGTGAGAAGTGGCGCCTGCTCCCCAGGGCAGCGACCGGGACAGCCCCTGCCAAGCCCTGGCAGCGGGGCCAGGCAGGGCAAAGAAAACAGGCCGGGCCTGCCCCTGCTCCCCTGCAGCCCCGGGCAGCTGCAGCCGGCACCTCACACGGGAAGGGCCTTCCCGCCCTGGCTGCCTCGCGAGCAGGAGGGAGTTAATTACGGAATAAAATAAATGACCCCCCTCCTCTCGGCCCTGCTCCTCCAGGGAGGCGCCACAAGCGGCGGTCACAGCGGGACCCCACCTGCACCGAGGGGGACCTTGCTCCGGAGGGAAATTACCGAGGCACCGCTCGCTTGGGGCGGAGGCCGGGAGCGGGGTCTGACCCGGTCAGCCGCGGCCCG